GGTATGATCAACTGCTAAGAAAGGTTGTGAAAGTCATATCACTGTGGTAAGCTTTTCGAGCAGAATGTTTTGGAAGTGGTCATTTATGCCACATGGACTCTCTAACACTCAAGCAACTTTCAATCGCAGATGTTCAGATCGTACTGTTACTATAGGCAGGACTATCTAAACGAGTAATTCGAGCATAGAAATGCATAACACGGGATCATATGTGAAGAACAACTTGCAAGCAGTACTCGAGCCAATGCGTTTCAACATTAGCTCTACCAATATAAACAAGTATGTCTTTCAAGTATAACACTGAGCCCCTTTGTAGGGCGCTCCACAGGCATGGCCTCCAGGCACTTTTCGAAAGGGAAACTCTTTGCTGATTGACCGGTGCAACTGTACCAAAAGAATAAGAAAGTGATTTGTCCTAGCCAACTTCTTGCACAAGCATAGAACAAAAGAAATGCCAACACGGCACGGTCCCTTACCAATCTTCATTACAAAATGACACAAAAGAATTGGTGAGGTGGTGCGGTAGAACTAGCAGCCTTTCAGGGTTTGGATGGAGCCTTATACGAGCTCTAATTCTGGCCGTAAGATTCCATGTCTTTTGCTCGTTACTATAGGATGTCCTTCGCATCAAGTAGATGCCAGCGGGCATGAACGCGTGATCTCGCTTCAGAACAGCCAGTCTGACGGGATACAAAAGTTTGCTATACCCATGACAAGGAGCTTTTTGCTTTGAAAATATGCCTTCGTCAAGCTCAAGCTAGAGTTGCTTGTTTCTGGGCCATTTATGATCGATACGGATCGTGTGTCATTGCGCACAGCAACGTCGCAACCACGTACTTCGCACAAACTGGCACGACGGCAATGGCAGGTATACCCTTAAGGAAAAATATGAGCTTATTCGGCTTGATATACTGGTAGACACGCTTTCACGTTACCCCATCAGTGAGCTGTCGCATATCACAATGGTGACGGCGCCAATTGATAAGGCAATACGTTCTCTGATGTAATTTGTGTTACAATGGTGAAACCAAGGAAGGAAAGTATCTGCACTCATATGTCGCTTTTCGAAAGCGCGCGCTTGCACGTCTGCACAACTATGCTTTACCAAAAATTTACTCTTGTAAAATCCGTAGGACATGTTATGTCTTAAATTGAGGAATATACCATGCGAGGTATATGATAGGCTCCTCGGAAGCCTCGGAAGAGCAAAGAAATACTGCTCGATGAGCGCTATGTATTATGACGCAACAGGTATAAACGGGTAAGCGTGTATTTGCGCGTGTGTGAAAGTGTCATCGAAATTACCCTCGCTGCATACGACGACAAATTGTTTACCGGTCCAGCAGAGTGCCAGTGGTCCATCAGTATGGACTTCCTTGCTGTCTTTCAAAAAACGTGTCTGATGATACCGTCATTGTGGTCTGTGTGGACCGTGGTGAAAATACATCGAGCTGCTTCTTGACAAAGCTTTCGCCACCATAGCTTACCAGTAGTTACGGAGAGACCGCGGCGCTGATGTGACTTGCTCTTATTTTCCTGAGTTTGCGCTGAATAATGCAGAAAATTCCGCTACAAGCTTTATCTCATTCTACATAAATGGCTTGGTTAAACCAAATGCATCTGACACACACTGCTATGAAGTGGCTTGTTGATCAAAAAACTATCGATGAAATTTGACTAGCGTGTATTTACCCGTGGCAAAATCACTCAATTTGTTTAAACGAGATAATGCGTTATGCGCCGAGTTGGGCCACCCTATGTCTGAGAGTCAGAACAAACAAAAGCAACACATCGATGCCAGAGATAGGCAAAAAATCATGAATATGAATTGGAAAGAGTTTTTGAGCGATACTTATTTAAGTACATATGCAATGCCTGCGGCTAATACGACCAAGTTGCGACAGCGCTACATCAGGCCGTTTGAGGCCTTATACTCTGAATGTCTCAATAAGAATGCGACTACAATTGGGCTTCTGTTCAGGCATACAGAAGCCATTCCACATTTCCACTCATACGAACCAGTCGAACGCGAAACCACGCAGCTTTGTGGCATACGAAGCAGCGTCTTAAAATTTTCTGATGCTGAGGTAACCTCTGTCCAAAGAACAACGCATTTATGAACTTCTAGGTGTGTTTCAAGCCAGGCAATTCGACGGAAAATCTCAAAGAGCGCATCCACGATCTTTCTGATCTCGGCTGCAAACATATACCAAAACCGTTCAGCGCACTATCATAACTCAGAGAACTCACGAGTGTTGGGTCGACATCCGCCGGCACTATTCAAAAAGAAACGCGTGACTCACACTCATGTGAAAAGTTTGATGGGCCAGCGGGTACATCAGGGCTGTTACCAGTACCTGGTGAAGCAAAAGGGATATCCTCACCTGGAAATTTGTATATGTTTGAGATTCCTCAATGATAAAATTACCTTGGTGCTGTGGCCGCTTACGACGTGGTGCACTCCCAGCTATTTCATGTCGTGGAGAGAAGGCAAGGTCACCCTTTGCCAGACACTTCCAATAAGTGAGAAGCGCCAACCGTGTGTGAGTAAGACAAATTGCCGGTAGCTCTTACAGCTGTTTCAAGGAAACTATCAGGGCTTTAAACGGAGAAAATTGAGGTAATTTGTTGTCATGTCGACATCCGCGTAATGCGCTGAATCTTGCAAAGGAAGGCATGAGACGATCTCTAGGCGAGCGTCCGTTTCGATAGTGCTGGCTTTGTAAGGCCTTAAGGTGGATGGTACGGCGTGAATCGCTCGAAGTGTATACATACTTAACGATACTTTTGCCTGTTCGAAATACCCAGGAGCATCTATTGTAACGGGGTTACACGAACCCTGGTAACAGGGAGGTGTGTGTCACACGAGATGTGAATGGTGTGACCACACCCAAACAAGAATACGGTACGGGGCTAGGTAGCCAGTAGTTATG